GAGTAACAGCAAATAGGTACTTGTTAATGTTCTTCGTATATTAGTCGATATTGTAAGAGTAATGTTTTTTATCTATCTCGTACGTTAATACAATCGAGAAGAATATACTTCAAAGATTTGCAAACTTTTTCTTTTCAAACACAGCTGATGTATGACTAAATAAGACGGACGGAGAATAAGTTTCTATAATGTATTCCTCATTAATGACGAGCTGGAAAATCCGTGGCTCGGCAAAATCCGCAGGCAAAAAATGCAAAGAGAATGAGAAAACTATCCATGCATAAAAACATAAGCTTGAAAAAAATGAACACAGATGGTTGTATGATGGCGTATTCTTTAAATCTATTTTATCTATTTTTACATTTTAGATTAAAATAATATATAGAAATGTTTTTAAAGGGATATCTTTTCGTCAGTATTAGACACAATAATAGTTTGAGATAATTATCTTAAGATGAATATTATTCTCAATCACGTAATAATATTACAGGCCATGTTATGGTAATGACGATATGGATTTTAGTATGGTAACCTATTGTCAACAACTTTCATTACGGTGTATGTGAGTATATTGTAACTTGGTTTTCTAAATATGTAGCTTTAAAGTAGAAAGTAACAACAAGATAACGTGCTATCGGTTCAGATGACTACCTGAGTTGTCTTCTTATTTTTTTTTTTTTTTTTTTTTTTTTTTATATCGGACCTGGGGGAAAAATCTTCAAAAGATACAAATGGCCCGTACCATTTGCATGCCCGATTCATGCACGACTCAAATTGAGTCATACATGCCTACGGACTAAAAAGTCCCCTACATTCTCAACTCAAAATCCTGAAAATCCCTGCAGTACGACCAATAAAGGTATTCCTTCACAGGGCAGGTTAGAAGAGCACTTAGCGTGCATTCACTCCGATTGTGTACTAAGTATTTCGTCCGCTCTAACAGTATTTATTGTTCTAGAGATTATGCTCTTGTAAAAGCTCCATTCTTCGATGCTTGCCAACATCTGCATTACCATAGTAGAAGGGCTGGATTCCCCAATTAGTGTCTCTAGATTTTGTCTAGTATCTACGAATCTTATACATTCTCTAATTATGTGGTCAGGACTCTCAATTTTATCTGGACAGGACTGGCAGTACGGGTTACTTGCTAGCCTAAACCGGTATAAGTATTCACGGAAGCAGCCATGCCCCGTAAGAAACTGTGTTAATTGAAATCCCAAGTCTCCAGATCCTCGGTTAATCCAAACTCTTATATTTGGAATTAACGAATGCGTCCATCTTGATTTTTGGGAATGATCCCACCTATGTTGCCATTCATTAAGGTATTTGTCTCTTATATCTAGATAAGACTCTGCCAGAGATTGCCCAGTTTCAGTCGTTCGCCGACGAGAGCGCTGTAAGAAATTGTCTCTGGCCAAGAACGCTTCAAGGTCTATTGGCATGCGTCCAGCCAATACTCCCGCAGCATCGTCCGATACTGTACGGTAAGCACGGCAGATGCGTAGGTTTGACAATCTATGTGCACTTTTCATTACACGTGAATACGACTTAATGGTTGTAGCATGTGCCCACACCGGAGCAGCATAAAGCATCACCGACTTGGAAACTGATGCTAAAAGAACTCTAGCGGTGTCCTTGGGACCTCCTATATTTGGCATTAATCGAGATAATGCGTTGCAGACACGTGATGCTTTATCTCCCGATTGTTTTAGGTGAGTTTTGAAACTCAACCTACTATCTAAGGTTACACCAAGATATGTAAGTTGGGGGCTAGATTGTATATCTACTCCACCCACTTTAATTGAGAGTTGTTCAATCTTTTTCCTACTTGTGATTAATAGCACCTCAGTTTTATGTTCAGCAAGCTCTAATCCGCTGTATTGCAGCCACGATTTAGCTGCTGCAATAGTAGCGCTGCAATTCCTAGCCACTTCGTCTAGAGTTTTTGCAACCACTACTATTGCAATATCATCTGCATACCCAACTACGTGCACTCCGTCCGGCTTTTCGATTCGAAGGATACCATCGTACATGATATTCCAAAGAATTGGCCCTAGAACTGATCCCTGGGGGACCCCTCCCGTAATCCTATATATTTTGGGTCCGGATTCTGTATCATATAAGAGTAATCTGTCTTTAAAATATGATGTTATAATTTTCAAAAGATATTCTGGGACTCTCATTTTCATCAGTGCATTTAAGATGCTACTCCACTCAGCAGTGTTGAAAGCATTTTTAACGTCTAAGGTCACTACCGCGCAGTACTTTTTAGTACCACCTAGCCACCTTACGCCCTTAGTAGCTTCCTTTGCAATGTTGCATACATGTAGTACAGCATCAACAGTACAGCGTTTAGGTCTAAAGCCAAATTGGTTATTTGATAGACCCTGACTTGCCTCTGTGAATTTTTCTAATCTAGAACTTATAATTCTTTCAAGGACCTTACCTGCAGTGTCTAATAAGCATAAAGGTCTATAAGATGATGGCAGTTCTGGGGACTTATTACCTTTAGGAATAGGCACCAATCTTTGCTTTTTCCAACACGAAGGGAAGATTCCTTCCTGTAGGCAGCTGTTGTAAACATCCGTAAATATAGAAGCTTGTTTTTGTATTGCCTTCTTCAGTACAGTATTGGGGATTCCATCCAAACCAGGAGATTTATTGGGCTTAACTCTGGAAGAAGCGGCTATGACTTCAGGATTTGTAACCGGAGGTATCTCATTTAAATCGGTGTTTATCGGTATTAAAATTCTAAGTTCTCCCTTTTTTGGGAACAAATGTTTCACGATATTCGCCATTATTTTAGGACATGAAGGTACCGAGCCTCTTAACCTCTTAAATTTACGCATTACTATTTTGTAGCCATCGCCCCAGACATTTTGGTCTACATCATTGATCAGAGTTTGAAAAGCTTGATTCTTACTCCTAATAATTGCCTTTTTAAGTTTAGATCTGTTCTCTCGGTATTTTTGTAGAAGCCTTTCCGCATCTACTCCCGATCTGTGACGTTGAAATTGCCTACGGGAGGCAAAGCACTGAGATCTTAGTAAAGCTATTTCTTCCGTCCACCAATAGTTTGATGGGCGCCCATTACCTCTGCCTTTTCTTGGCATTGATGCATCACAGACGTTGCATAATTCCTTCATAAGGTGATTTGATTTTTCAAAAGCATCCCCGACTCCGAAACTCATGTTTTCGGTCATGAATTCCATTATCTCTGTGGCAAGATACTTAGTTTTCCAGCCTATTTGCTGTGCTTTTCTCTGCGATTTTTTCAAAACAAACTTCTCTTTTAGCGATAAGGAAAAAAGAATTGCATGATGGTCGCTGTGGGTGTAGTGGTTTGTTACATTCCATTGCGAACCCCTTACTAATGACGGGCTGACAAAGGTGAGATCTATGTAGGAAACGCCTCTACCATTATCGAACGTTGGGCTATGCCCATTGTTCAGTTGTATTAGGTTTAGTGAGGTAAACGTTTCTAATAGGGCTCTACCTCGGCGCGTTGTATTACTACTGCCCCATTCGACTGCCCAAGCATTGAAATCCCCTGCAACAATGATGGGAGTTTTGTTTCTGATTGTTCCTGATAGCCTATCAAGAAACTCTTCAAATCTCTCTTGGGAGATATTTGGGGATATGTAACAGCTGCACACATAGATACCCCGGATTCTGACAAGTACTAGACCTTCTTTTTGTATCAATACTCTTGGTTCAAACACTATGTCCTGTCCTAGCCAAATGGCAGCCTTTGCAGTAATATCTTGTACCCATTTGGAGGTTTCTTTTGATTTGTAAAACTCACTAATTATGAGTACATCTGTCTTTAATTCCAAAGCTGTTTGGGATAAAAGGTCTTGGGCAGCTTCGCATCGATTTAGGTTCAATTGCAGAAATTTAATCATTTTTTGGACTTAAGCTCCTGTATAGCCTTCCTGTAGAATTCACATTTGGAACTTCTTGAGTAGTGTAGATTGCCACCGTTGCAGTTTTCCGGACGTAGGATGCATTTTGGTTGCGCCGAGCACGTTTTTGCCCTGTGACCATCTTGTCCACATCTCATACATGTGCCTGATCTGTCATTATCGCTTTTGCACTGTCTAGCAGCGTGTCCAAATTGAAGACATTTGAAACACCTCATGGGTGTGATATGCTTTCTGATCCTACTGCGTACCCAGCCAACTCTGACTGAGGCAGCTGCAATCAATATACTGGCATCCTTAGTAGGAAGGTCAATAATTGCTGATCTTGTGCTGTCCCTTGCGGCACGCCAAAACTTGACGTTGATGTCACTTACATTTATTGCTGGAAATTGATCAGCAATCGCCGCGCGCACCTCTTCGTTGGATGTTATCTCGTCCAAATCCCTGCATTCTATTAGGGTGTGCTGTGTTAAAGATTTTTCACTAGCACAATTCTGAAGTGTGTTTTTCATTTCATTGCAGAAGTCCTTCGCTAAATTTCCAGCTTCTTTGGTAAGCTGAATCAATATGTCCCCCTCTTTAGTTTTTCGGATTTTGTTCACGTTTTTTCCGAATTCTTGTAGCTCTGGTTTTGTTTTAATGATCTTTAACATTTCAGCGTAAGACTTGTCTGCCGTCTTACTAATGAGAATTGCTTCCGGTTTTACTCTAGGCGCTTTAATGAGGTCCAGATTTGGCACAGTTTTCCCTTTTTTCTTTTGCACTAGCTGCCATTTGTGAAAATTCGTTTCCTGCTCCTTACTTCCAATTTCCCTAATTTGGACTTTGGGTGGTGGACCGTTCGGTTTTTCTTTCGCAGCACGCTTTAGTGCTCCCTGAGTTTGCACGCTAATGGAAGCTACACTCTTAGCCACCAACGGCACTTGTGGCCCCCTTTCTTGTTCCGTCTTATACATCTTAACTATCTGTGCAAGCAGATCCCGCATATCCTTATTAATATGCCTTTGTGATTCCATCATCGCAGATAGTTGTACCAGCTTATCCTCTACACTATCGTCAGGCTTGGGGGATAAAGGTATGTTTAATACCTCCTTCTCCATTGTTTTTTGTACTGCGTTTTGTTTCCGCAGAGGTGATGTTTTTTGCCCACTCATACCTTT